TGCATATTTATGGCTTTTGAATGTCAATCAATGGACAAAAGCAGTTTCCTAGGTACTATGATATGGAAGACACTAGTAATTACATCAGAGTTTATTTCTAAATGGAAAATAACATGTACTTTTGCCTCCCCACCATGATAGAGAAACAGTGAGGGAAGAGGCCAAATTAAAATTAATAATCATGTCATATAAGATCAGAAACTCTAAAACCAAGAGAATTCAGTTTCATCTCAGCAATAGGGCAAGGCCAAGTTTCTCAGTTCATGGTTTTCTCTTACTCTAGGCTAGCATAATTATGTTTTTGTTTTTGTTTTTTGTTTTCTTTTCTTTTTCTTCTTGGTTTTTCTGAGACAGGGTTTCTCTGTGCATCTTATCACCTTTCCTGGAACTCACTTGGTAGCCCAGGTTCACCTGGAACTCACTTGGTAGCCAGGCTGACCTCGACCTCACAGATATCGGACTGGCTCTGTCTCCCGATTGCTGGGATTAAAGGCGTGAGCCACGACCGCCCGGCTACCTTTTAGTTCTTGATGAGGTTGTAGTAATTTGTAAATACATGAGCATATTTGGAGATATTTCACTTTTAAGTGAGAGTTTCTACTTTCCATGTTTCAATTTTCAGTACCTGCTAAGGAATAAAGTAGTTTCAAAATTGTGCACCCCAAAACAAAAGAATTAATTTCAGACCCAAACCAAGAAAGTTAATCCTCTACTTTTCCATTTCAGAAAACAGAGAAACATCTTTCAGATGATAGCAAGATCTGGGCATTAAAAAAAATTAAAACCGAAGTCAACCTCCTTTCTCTGGGAGAGGTAATAACTGATAGCTTAAAAATAAAAAAAAAATACTTAGTGGTAATTCCCACTAATTTGAAAACTAACATATTTGCTTGTGAGAGGAATGATGCTTCTGTGTTCCTATGTCTACATTATTGCAAATAGTGTCAGAGAAGAAGAACCCAGACTGGAACATGTCCTTCACCTCCTTTATACCCTCACTTCTGAGAACACCCAAACAAATGACCTTCAAAGACAGTAGTTCTCACCCTTTCTAATGCTGTGACCATTTGATGCAGTTCTTCATGTTGTGGTGACCCTCACCATAAAATTATATTCGTTGCTACTTCATAAGTGTAATTTTGCTAAGGTTATGTATCATAACGTCTATATCTGTATTTTCAGAAGGTCTTAGGTGACCTCTGTGAATAAGAGTCCTATGATTACCAAATGGGTCATGAGCCACAGGTTGAAAATCACTGTTTTAAGGGGTAAGTGATAGTAAATTAGACTATGGAGTAAAAAAAAATCAAAAGTTGAGCAACTTGCAACACCGAGATAAGATCTCATAGAAATGAAGAGAATAAATAATGGAGACTCGGGTAGGTCATGTCAACATGAATGTACCCAACATACCTGTATATTTTAAATTGATTTATTTTCTGTGTTTAAAAGTTTTG